AAAAGAAAATAGAACACCTAAGAAAATCAGTGTCCATTCAGAAGCTCTAAGAGTTTCATTCTAGAAAGAGAAAGTGGCCCTGGTCAGTGTAGCTCAGTTGGTTGCTCTAAGACCCATGCACCAAGAGATCACAGGTTAGATTCCTGGTCAGGGCACATGCCCAAATTGTGGGCTCAATTCCCAGTAGAGGGAGTGCAGGAGGCAGCCGATCAATGTTTATCTCTCTCCGTCTCCCTTCCTCTCTCTGGAAAAAAAAAAAAAAAAATCAATTAAAAGGAAAAAAACATAGAAAGAGAAAGTGAATGGGAAGAAATTAAAGTAATAAATCAGGAAAACTGCCCAGCATTGAAGGACAGGAGTTTCCAAATAAAGGGGTCCAAAGTGTTCCAAGGGACATCATCACACTTGGTGTTTTGAATTTCATAGTGAGAAAATCCTTTAAGCTGAAAAAAACAAACACAACAGTCACACATAAAGGCTTCAGCAATAACACTGGAAGATGGGGATGGAGGCCTAGGACAGATTTATACACTATGAGGTTAATAAAAAACACAATTTTATAAGATAAAAAGGTGGGTTTGGCATTGAGTTTTAGTGACAAATACATAGAAAATTAAGCCAACAAACAAGACTCATAAAAACTTCATAGAAAACAAAAATTTATTAAGGAAAGATAAAGTGACCCATCACACTATCTGGCCTAGCTGTGAGACTATGCAGTCATAATATAAACACTAAATTCTGAACTGTCCAAATTAAAGATGCGCCTGCTCAGATAGCCATGTATTTGTCTGCACAGCAACAGCAAAGGGTAAAAGAAAACCAGAAACTTCACATCTATTCCAGAGTTAAGTGAAGAGAATGTATGAAATGGAGGAAGAGTCATAAATAAGCAAGTCAGCACATCTATCTAGTAATATTCAAATTGGTTGGGACGCCATCACAGTAAGGACCATCAGCAGGCTGCGTGCGCAGCGGGTGCAACCATCAGCAGGCTGCGTGCGCAGCGGGTGGGTGGGGACTTGCAGCATTGGGGACTCAATGGCCACTGCTGCTTGCCCCGGGCTGGCCCTGGGCAAGCGGGGACGGGGGCGGGGCCCGTTGGAGGGCGGCCTGTACTCCCCACATGGCAGTGGCGGCTGTAAGTGCTCACGGTGGCCGCTGCTGCTTGCCCAGGGCTGGCCTGGTGCTCCAGCAAGCCGCCATTGGCCGCTGCCACTTCGAGGGCCCGAGGCTCAGGCAATGAGGGCTGGGCGAGGCCCAGGCAGCCTCGTGGCCGGCAGTGGCAGCAGCAGAGGTGTGATGGGGGTGTCGCCTTCCCCTGATCACAGGGTTGCCTCCTGCAAAGGGAGGCCAGAGGCAACAGCAGCAAGGGGGTGATGGGGGCGGTGCCTTCCCCTGATCAGCCGGTCGCCTCCTGCAGAGGGAGGCCAGACTGCAGCCATCAGTAGGACATCCCCTGAGGGATCCCGGACTGTGAGAAGGGGCAGGCCAGGCTGAGGGACCGCCCCCTCCCCCCAGTGCACAAATTTGGTGCACCGGGCCTCTAGTATACTATAAAGACCAAAGGAATCACCCAAGAGCAAGCCTGGGTGCTCTGCAGAAGAAACATGATCTGGGGAAGGCTAGTCATAGTTTTTCCTTACAAGCCTTTCTAGATTTATTTGACCTCTTAAAAACATGAAGATACATCCTTGGTTTGAAATAAAATTAATTTTTTTTATTTTAAAATTCATATGAATCCAAATAACAAGTATTAAGGGTGAGTATGCAGTCAATGTATTTTACCAAATTAACAGCAAGCATCAAGATGACTAATTCCACACAATGCCCAGACATGCCTGGAACAACATGTCTGGCTTGTATTTAACGGTATTCGAGGAATTTCAGCGTGCTCGGAAAATAACAGCCTACTAGGGATGTCACTTAAAAAATGTCTCTGATTTGAGAAAGAAAATCTTGCTTAGCCCAAAATAACTTGTATAACCAATTTTTTAAAATGTTTTATTTATTTTTTTACAGAGAGGGAGAGGGATAGAGTGTTAGAAACATCAATGAGAGAGAAACGTCAATCAGCTGCTTCCTGCACACCTCCTACTGAGGATGTGCCCACAACCAAGGTACATGCCTTGACCGGAATCAAACCTGGGACCTTTCAGTCCGCAGGCCAATGCTCTATCCACTGAGCCAAACCGGCTAGAGCGTATAATCAATTTTTAAAGTGTCATACACATGAGTTTCTTTTCTTGGTTTTCAATGTTGAATGTGTGGTGCTTCTAAGGGAAAAGGCATGTTCTCTGGTTGCTTTTCTACTGGGTCAAAAACTTTTATAACATGAATCTTGAGACTTTTTGCAGCCATAACTCAGCAATTGAGAACTCAGCTGTGTGCTGATTCTTCCAGGAGCTTGGTTATTTCTTAACAGAAAAGGAAAATGCCTTTCTATGTATGATCACCAGCCCTGTGGGAGGAATGTGTACTGAAGGAGTGATACCAGTATAAATACCATCGGTAGTTCAAAAAGTGTGTTCTCTGCTCAAGCCCTTTTGGTAAATGAATGTTTCAGTTGGGAAGCATTAATGGAGAATCTACCTGATCCATTTGTGACTGAAGGTCACAAGTCATCCTGGCAGACAGTGTGATCACTTGAAACCCTGTCCCAAACAGTGTTTTAGATAGGACTAACTAAAGGGCATGAAGTCCTTCACAACAGGGTCTCAACAAGCCCTCCACCCTTTCAGAGGTTGGCAGTATACCAAATTCTCAAGCTCTTGCCCATATATGCCAAGCTATAGCTGTCACACGTCCCCTTTGCATTAGCTAATCTTCCTGCCTAGAACATCCCATCCTGCCAACTCCACATAGAAAACCCCTTATTCATTCTCTAAACCCCAGTTCAATAACTACATTCTTTCTAAAGACTTTCCAACTTATTACTGCCTTCTCCTTCCTCTACCCAAATATTGGACCTATCTCCATTACTGTACTTACAGTACTGTAATCTAATTATTCTTTTACCAGAAAATCCCCTATACTAGACCATAAACTGCTTTAGTGAAAAAAAGTCTATACCCTCTTTACCTTTGCATCCTCAGACTCCTTAACAGTATCTGGCACACGGCAATTCCCAATAAATGTTTCTTGAACTGTTGAAGTTATGAGGCTGAAGTCAGAGAATAAGAAGCCCCAAACAGCAATATGCCTAACCGGTAGCTATGAAGCGCACTGACCATCAGAGGGAAGGAGGGAGGGCATGAAGAGATTAACCAAAGATCTTATATGCATACTAGAGGCCTGGGCGGTGGGGTCCCTCCGCCTGGCCTGCTAGGATCCTCAGAAACCGGCAGTCCAACATCCCCCAGGGTTCCCAGATTGTGAGAGGTCGCAGGCCAGGCGGAGGGACCCCACCAGTGCACAGATTTGCACTGGGCCTCTAGTACTTAAAGATTCAATAAGAAATTCTCCCATCAAGCAGCTGAGATGTCAGCTTGGCCCACTGGATAGGGCCTGGAGGTGCTTCGGAATATGGCCCCAATGATCCCAGAAATGCTCTCCTTATGCTCACTGCACATGTACCCAGGTGATGTTAACCTGATTACAGAAGATGCATGGCACATAATTGAACTAAAGGCAATTACAGGGAAGTCCAATCCTCATTATAAATTAACTGGCTTTCAAATGTTATTCCTCAAGGCTTTGAAACACCTTCCCAACTACTTTAAACACTGCTTCCAAGCATCCTAAAATTAAACGTACTTAATGAGTTTAGCTTGCAAGTATTTGACCAGTTCAAAATTGTCAAATATAAACTGGAGCACTAGGTTTCCTCCCATGTTCCATCATTCCTGGTTTGCTTCCATACGTGAACATCCATCAACTGCCTCAGACAAAATCCTGACTATAACACCCTACTTGCCAATAAAGTAAGGATCCTTAAGCAGATACCAAACACTGGTAAAGTCATTGCCTGAGGGCTGAAGTGAGCCATGAAGCGGAGGACCCATAACAAAACCCAAAACTGAAGGGCCAGTCATCCGTTCCTGAAGATGCTTCATCTGACCAGAAGTGTTGCTTAATAAATAGCACATAATATGTATTTCCTTTCGTTCTACGTGGTATCCAAACTCCATGCAAAGTCTGACCCTCCCATTTTCTAAGTCGGGTGGGAGAGGATATTTGGCAGCTGGCCCTGAGTACATAACCACTTTCCAAAATATGCCCTCGGTATCCGCTAGTGTCAGATACAGCTTCAGGTTCCCAACACGAAGCTGTCGCACGCCAGAGACTCAAGAATGTGTTTATTTTCAGTCAGGAGCAATCTACAAAGGCTTCCTGTGGGAGAGCATCCGCGCACAGCCTTCAAGAGTGTGGGACGGCTGCTGGGCCTACAGGCCACCGGGAGGGAGAAAGGACACCCCGGCTAGGGCAGGGGGCAGCGCTGCTCCCGTCCCGCCCCGGCCAGGCATGTTGCCCTCCCGCCCCCGAGTCCCCGAGCCACGCGATCCCAGTGGGTTTGGAAGTGCCCCCCAGGTCTCACCTCGCGACCCGGACCCCAAGGAGAAAGGGGGAGAGGAGCCCGCGGCCCCGCCCTCCCCCTGGGGCACAGGCCCCAGGCCCAGGCGCTCGAAGGCCACGTCCCCCGAGACCCGTGCCGACTCTAGGGTCTGCGCGCAGACCCGCCGGCCCACGTGACGTGCGGCAGCCAATCGTGGCGAGGCCCCCGACCATCGAGACGACGGTGGCCCAGGGCTGGAGCGGCCCGCTCGTCCGCTTGCCATCCCCACTCCGGCCCCGCTCCAGTGCTTCCAGCTCGGTGCTGCCGCCATCTTCCTGGAGGAGAGGGCCAGAGGCGAAGGCGCCCATCCCTGCGGTCGCTCCGCACACTTACCGCCACCTGCCCTTCCCCGAACGCCTCTGTTCTCCTCAGCAGTCACTTAGCTCCTTCTAAAGAGACTTCCTTACTTCCACTCTAGTTACCCACAGGCAAAGAATCACATTACCTGTTCCAGTCTTACCAGCGTAAGGAGATCAGGCTCACAAGCTGGGAACTGTGGAGAAACAGGGACAAGCCGCCATCTTGGTAAAGGAGAAGAGGCTACGCTTGACCTCCCCCCCACCCCCAGCATCTATATGGCCAACCGCCGTGGGAGGGGCACGGCGCCTGCGCAGAGGCGGAAAACGCGGACGAGCCTGCGCCTGCGCACTCAGAAACTGGCGCATGGGGGAGGGGAGGCAGGACAGGTCGCGCAGAGGAGAGGAATGCGTTGGCAAAGGGGCGGGGCGACGTGGTGACGCAATCCGCCTGCCCGCGGGGCGGGGTGCGAGCAGACGGCGGGCGCTGGGTGGATACGCGGCGCGGTCGGTTGGCTCTTCTTCGGCTCCTCCGCGGTGAGTGTCTCGCCGTGGGTCCCCGCCGCTGCTGCCGGGATGCGAACTGTGGGGCTGGCACAGAAGGGGTAGGGGGCCCACTCTGGATGGCGGTTAGCCGTCCCGGGGGGCGCAGCGGCGGTGGTGACCGCGCAGTGTGGGGGAGGGGCTGTCAGCCTGCGGTCCTTGGTCCTCCCCGCCCTCCCAGGTTCTCTATCCTCCCCCGTCCTTTCCCGGGCCCTCCTCTACCCTCTCCCCAGCCTTCCGGGCCCTCCCCGGACCCCGCCCCCCGGGAGCCCTGGCTCCGGCGGAAACGACAGGGTGTGTCCCGGGAGAACCCAAGTGACCCCTTGCTCGCTCTGTGTGATAATTCCGTGCAACTGTTTCAGTAGTTGATCAGGGGTACAGGACGCGCAGTTGGCGGTCGTGGTCCGGAGGGAGAGTGCTTTTGTCGTGCGGCCATCCTTTTGTCCCTTTGACATGGGCCATTTCCTCCCGCTGGCCCCTGGCAGAAGGGAAGCCTCCAGAAGTCCTTGCCTCCTTGGCTGTCTGGCTGCAGGGGAGAGGCCCCACCATTCCCCTGAAGGCCTGAGGGGAGGAGGCCCATCTGCGGCTGCCCTTGCTTTCTGTAAAGCCCCAACTCTCACGTGGTCCACAGGACCCACAAGACCTGGCCACCATTTACTTTTCCGCCTAATTTTTTTACCAGGACCACCCTTACCGTGTCTGCCCTCCCCCATAGACACGTGACCAACCACACTGAACTGCTCAAACTGCTGTGGTCTGTCTTTTGGCTTGGGCCCAAACCCTTTCTTTTGTCTAGAACCCAGCTACCTCCCCACCTTTTCTGCCCTTTGCTTGCCTAGTCCCAGCTCTGCTATTCAGGACTTGGTCCAGATTAGATTTCCTACGGCCGGCATAGATGTTGGCCTGATGTTAGCCTTTGTCCTACTTACTGTATGGTAGTTGTCCTGTGAGGGGCAGGGGATGTGTGAACTTAGTCACCTTTACCCTTTGCCTAGCACAGTGACCCTCACCTAGTAAGTTCCCAAATATTTGTTGAACGACTCACTGTTATAACACCTCAAAATAAGTATGTTCCAAAACAGACTTACTGTCATGAGGAGAGAGACCTACTGGTGTAAGGGGTCACGATAGCTGCTTCCTGGTGTTTGTAGTTGGAGGTTCACGATTTCCATTTTTGGTAGTTCCGACACAGGCTTTCTTTGCACCACCCAACTTCCTAACTCACTGTGTGCTGCTCTGTCAAATCTTGGCAATGATCTCGGCTGGAAAGGATATCCTGATATTTCTTTCCACTGTCCATCTTGATCTCTCACCCAGCACAGCAGCCCAGGGTAAAGAACAAGGGCTTTTCCATTTGGTCAGATTAGCAGGGTGACCTAGGGAAATGAGCAGGGGAGAGTGGAACCTCTATCATTCATAAATGTGATTCAGGTCCCTTTTTATATCCAATACCAAAGACAAACTGCTAAAAAAACAACAGTTTTCTTTTTCCAGAGAGAGGACACCAAAACTCATTTGGCAGCAGAACTGGGCTGAATCCATATGTATAGTCCATATTTATCCCACTTTTTGCTAATTGTCATACATGTCACTACATAAAATACATTTGGATGTGGGGTGCTGCCCGAGATACCATTGAGGGTGTTATGGGATATACTGTACATGTATCTTCTTCAGATCCAAATAATCTGAATGCCAGAACATTCCAAGGGCTCTAGATAAGGGATTATGAACCTTCTAGGTCCTACACTGCAGAGTCATTTTGTGGACTTGGGATAATGTATATAAAATACAAGAGTAACATGTTGATAAATGGGAGTTATGGGTAGTCCATTAATATAAATGCCACCAGCAGAATATGTTTATATTGCCAAGAATCCAGTTTTATCCATCGTTCTTCATCTTTTGTTTTGGAAAATGTGAGTATTGCTTGGGAAGTATCAAGACTTTCTCACTGAAAACCAGGTGCATAAAGAAAAGCAATTTGTCCTCAGCTGATGTGAGTCAGCAGTTGAGCCTGGACCCATGAACCGAGAGGTCAATGGGTCAATTCCCGGTTAGGGCACATGCTAGGGTTTTGGGCTCAATCCCCAGTAGGGGGTGTGCAGGAGGCAGCTGATTGATGATGTTTCTTATCAATGTTTCTTTCCCTCTCCCTTCCTCTCTCTACAAATTAAAAAGAATATATTTTTAAAACAATTGAAATTTTTAAAAATATGTAACTGCTGTGAAGAAAATTTAAGCAACTTTGAAAAGAGATTTTTATAGTACGTAGCTGTTTATAAATTATGCTCTGTTAAAACTGGGGAGGTGGAACCCTGGCCAGGTGGCTCAATTGGTTAGAGAGCATTGTCCGGATTCGACAAGATTTCAGAGCACATACAAGAAACAACCAATGAATGTATAAGTGGAACAACAAATCAATGTCTCTCTTTTTCTCTCTCTCTAAAATCAATAAATTTAAATAAAATGGTTCTGGCCAGTGTAGGTCAGTTAGTAGGGTGCCATTCTGTGCACCAAACGATTTCCAGTTTGATTCCCAGTGAGGGCACATGGCCTGGGTTGCAAGCTCGATCCTCAGTAAGGGGTGTGCAAGAGGCAGCTGATACATGTTTCACTCTCACATAGATGTTTCTCTCTCTCCCTCTTCCTTCTCTAAAAAAAAAAAAAAAAAGAAGAAGAAATGATGAACAAAGTATCGCAATAGAAGGTTAAATAAAATCCAGAAGCTGGTTCTTTGAAACAAATTCCTTAGAAATCCTATCTTAACCTTGGTTAACCAAGCCATACACTGGGGTGCAGGGGCCTCGTTTCTTCAGAGGTGGTTGGAAACATTTCCATTTGGAAGAGAAACTTAAGAGTTTGAAGCATTCATGAAAAGATTTGTGGGAAGTGGGGGGCAGAAAATTGAAAGAAGCTTTCTAATAAAGTTTCTAAGCTTTATTAGAAAGAATAAAATTAGAGAGAATAAAATTTGACTGCATTCAGATCTCTTGACTTTGTTACCAAAGGTTAGCCAACAGATCCCACACATTTCCCAAAGTTTCAGGGCTTCTAAAATTTGCATGAAAATTCCAGATAACTCTAAAACTGTCACATTTCTCAAACACTCAATTGCCTTCAGTCCTTTTTCCTTTGCTTATAAATGTAGTTCATATTGCTCTGTATGCCCCAGTGTCAAAATCTAATTCTCAGGCGCTCTAGAAATCTCTGACAGCCAGGTAGCACAGTACTCCCCAAGCACTCCTTTCTTCTTTTTCTTTTTAATCCTCACTTGATTACATGGTTAGAGAGAGGAAGAGAGAGAGAGAGAGGGAGAGAGAGAGAGAGAAACATCAATCTGTTGCCTCCCGTGCATGTGCCCTGACCAGGAATTGAACCAGCAACCTTTCGGTGCACAGGCCAGCGCTCAATCAGCTGAGCCAGGCACCCCTTTCTTGTTAAAAAGGTTCAAAGAGAGAAGACCAGTTCCAGAGGTCATGGAAACTTGTCTTCTCCTGGTGTGACCTGAGATTGTAGTACCTAACATATACTCATTATTAAAGAAAGTCTGAATATTCTTGAAAATATGGAATGATATATATATATATATATATATATGTATATACACACATAGAAATATATGGTTGCTTTTGAACTAATTCATATCTAACTTGTCTTTATAATGATACAATTTTACCATTTCTGGGGAAGTATTTGATGTAATTGAGAAGCTGAGTGAACAAGCTATTGATGCCTTATGTGTGTTTTTCACGTCAATTCATGCTAAGTTAAATACATGTATGCATTATGGATATATGCCTGTGTATTTTTACAGATTGACGGAACTTCACTGAAGATGTCTAAGGTAAGAACTTATACTTCCTATATCTACAGTGTGAGCAGAAATGGCTTTATGTTCTCGAACTGTTTACAGTCAAAATTTATGATTCGTTATTATTTTTATTTAAGTATTGATTGATTTCAGAGAGAACGGGAGGAGAGAGAGAGAGAAACATCAGTGATTAGAGAGAATCATTAATCAGCTGCCTCCTGCACACTCCCTACTGTGGATTGAGCCTGCAACCTGGGCACCTCCTGGTTCATGAGTTCATACTCAACCACTAAGCTATACCAGCCAGGCATTATCTTTAATATAGCTGATCTAACTATGGTATAGCTGATTCATTATTTTTAATATAGCTGGTCTATTTGATTCATTAAGACAATGTTCTAATTTAATTGTCCTAAAAGCTTTGAGCTTTTTTTCTCTCAGATTTCCAATTTCTTGTTTCTAAATACATCAAGAACAACCCATTTAGCCTCTATAGGTCATTCCCAGCAGACTAATCACATAATAATTTAAAATTCTAATAATTTATCATGATGAAATTGATGGGGCTCTTCAACTTGATAAATTGGTTTATATTATCTTTTGCAGATTAGCCCAGAGCCCTGAAATAAATTAGTTTTAAAAGACGTGGAGGAAAGCAGAATTTGTGGTTAAAATTACAAGATTATATTCTTTCTTTTTGCCTTTCATTTTTGAATCTTTGGGTATTAGTATCTGATGCATAAGCATCATGCTAGTTTTTGTTTTTTATACAAGTACTAGAGGCCGGGTGCACAAAACACATGCACAAGTAGGGTCCCTAGGCCTGGCCAGTGATCAGGGCCGATCAGGTTCCCCACCTCCTCCTTCCCTTGCTCCCTCAGGGCCCTGCTGCTGCTGGTCCCCCACCATGTTCCCGCCGCCCCCTGGTGATCAGCACACGTCATAGTGAGTGATTGAACTCCCGTTCTCCCGGTCGAACTCCCGAGGGGACACTTTGCATATTCGTCTTTTATATATATACTAGAGGCCCGGTGCACAAAAATTTGTGCACTCGGGGGAGAGGGGGGGGTCCCCCAGCCCGGCCTGTGCCCTCTCGCAGTCTGGGACCCCTCGGGAGATAACGACCTGCTGGCTTAGGCCTGCTCCCGGGTGGCAGAGGGTAGGCCCAATCCCTAGGTGCAGCCCCTGGTCGGGCTCAGAGCAGGGCCGACTGGGGAATTGGGGCGCCGCCCCCTGTCATGCACAGAGTAGGGCGGATTGGGAGGTTGCGATGCCACCCTCAGTCACGCTCAGGGTAGGGCCGATTGGGGGGTTGGGGCACCGCCCCCTGTCACACTCAAGGCAGGGTCGATGGGGAGGTTGCGGCGCCACCCCCTGTCACGCACAGAGCAGGGCCAATCGGGGTTGGGGCGCTGCCCCCTGTCACTCACAGAGCAGGGCCCATCAGGGGGGTTGGGGCTCCGTACCCTGTCACGCACAGAGCAGGGTCGATCAGGGGGTTGGGGAGCTCCCCCCTGTCACCCACAGAGCAGGGCCTATCAGGGGGTTGGGGAGCTCCCCCCTGTCACGCACAGAGCAGGGCCGATCAGGCGGTTGAGGAGCTCCCCCTGTCACACACAGAGTAGGGCCGATAGGGGGTTGGGGGGTTGGGTTGTTGTTGTTTTTTTAAAATATATTTTATTGATTTTTTTTAGAGAGAGGAAGGAGGAGGGATAGAGAGTAAGAAACATCGGTCAGCTGCCTCGTGCACACCTCCCATTGGGGATGTGCCCACAACCAAGGTACATGCCCTTGGCTGGAATCGAACCTGGGACCTTTCAGTCCGCAGGCCGAGGCTCTATCCACTGAGCCAAACTGGTTAGGGCTATCCATCAACTCTTTACAAGAACTCTATGCAGTGATGTTATTATTTATTTTCCAGATCAGGAAACTGAGGCACAGGGTAAAAAGGTCTGCAGTCTGTTCTCTGCCGAACTTTAAGACCAATAAGGCCTAAAATTCAAGCCAGTAAGTCCAGCCACACCCTGGACAGAACCCCCTGGATGCCTCTTAGACATCTTGTACTCAACAGCTCAAGGGAATTTGTCTCTCTTCCCCAGACTTCTCTTCTCTGGCTCCTCATCCCCCCAACCCCCACATGGCCACTTGCCTGTCATTCCTACTCTCTGCACTCGCAAATCTAAAAAAGACATCAAAACCCTTCGGGAGCCTTTGGAAACGCCACCAAGTCAGTTTTCTTATATGTCAGAAAGTAGATTGTAAAATAAAAGAAATAATAAACAGGTAACACCCTACCCCGGGGGGGAGCCCAACTGCCCCGGCTAG